GTATTAATTTAATTAATATAATGATATTTCAAACTTCTATTTTTTTATTAAAAAAAGAATAATAATAGTAATAAAATAATTTGATTTGAAATTGTTAATTTATAATTAAGTATGAATATCCTATTTTGTTAACATTTTAACTTTAGGCGCTTAAAAGAAGAGCCGGTATCTCAAATTCCTAAGTTAATACGTAATAATATTTCATTTATTTATGTATAACTTTTATTATTAATTAAGACAATAATTACAGACACGACATATCGAAATATTGTTTGTAACTGTAATTTATGACAAGAGGGAATAAATATAATATTTAGTTTTAATTAAGCTCGTCTCGTACGTTTCATTAATTATTTATATCACATTTTAAATTAAAACTTTTGGATGCCATATTATATTTGCATTTGACATCCAAGTGAGATAACTCTCGATGTGCGTGCTTAACCAACTGTATCAAAAGCTAGTAGGGTAAAATAGTTTCAGTAAAACTTGAAAACATTTGAATACAAATTATACGTTTTTCTTTTATGTCTATCATAACGTTTTGGCGTAGATGAATTTCAACGACCTCATCAATTTGTTTATTATTTGTTGCATTTTCTAACATATTAATGATAGCAGGAGCTTTAAATTTTTCAACATTACGTATATTATGATTTTGTATACCTACACAATAAAATTTTAAACATAATATAATAAATATAATATTTCCGTTGTATGAATTTCACAGGGTTCAACGGTAGGTACGTAGCGCGTTGACATTGACGACATTGAGTTAACAAAAAATAATGTAGGCATGTATATACTATTGATTATAAATAAAAAAATACATCGTATCACTAATATAATATTTCAATTATTCATAGTAAAAAATATATGAAATTTCTGACAAACATTAAAAAATATAATTGTATGATGCGATGTAATTTTATTATCTAATGGAAATTAATAAGGAGTTTAATATAGATAACTTTCTAAGTACACCCGTATATTTAGTCTAATGTTTGTGTAGTTGATACTTGATTATTAGTAAACATTTATTTGCTTATGAGATTGTAGTGCAAAATCAATAACAGAGCGTTTCTCGCACGTCATTGTAAACAAATACATTCATCGGTCTCTCAACATTTAAAATTAATTAGAAACTTTAGAATATTTTTAATCATGTTTAAACCCAACATAACGTATATTAAATAATAAAGGTTTAAATAGATCTATTTCAACACTCAATACATTTCATAATAATAAATATTTAAGTTGAAAGCATGTTTTTAAGAAAAGCATAGTCGAAACACATTTGACAATTTTAATTTCAAACAATGAGTTTATTGACCAAATAACATTATTATAATAAAATAGTAGATACAATAAAAAATTAATTAGATTTTAGCATGGACCTATAAAATGTTCATATAATATATTTTTTGAAATTAAAATGTTTCTAACATAAACCAGATCGTAATTTACTCAACGAAAATATTGATATTTAAAAAAATTGTAAAAATCAGCCATTTGACTTAAATAAGTGTTTTTACCATATATATTTTTCTGAAAATCAGATTTACAAATTTGAAATTTGTTATATTAAATATTTTGAGAAAAATGTTATCAATTTTTAAGTATTTTATTATCAGTATTAAAAAATAAAAAATAAAAAATGTATTCTAAAAATGTAGCGCCAGTGTCTATGAATTATATTTCAAAGAAATTTTTTAAAAATTTGATTAAAACAAAAGTTATTTCATTTGTCAGATCTC